GAACCTGCCTCACACACCAATGTAGAATCTTCTCCTCCTCCACCTTCTCCCCCACTTCCTCCTCCTTCCCTTCTTCTTCTTCTTCTCCAACATTCTTTACTAAGACCTCCAAGAATCCGTTTGTCTTTGGGTATAGTCTGATTTTAATTGGACTCATTAAAACTCCATACGAATCGAATGTAATTATAGTGGAATAGTTAATTGAAAAGATAAGACCCCAATTGAAGATCATCCAAAGTTTGTTCGTTTTTTTATACTTATATTTTGCAAAACTATTTAACAAAATAAAAAAGAAAGAGAGAGAGAGAGAGAGAGAGAAAGAAAGAGAGAAAAGGTGCAAGGATTTCAGGACCAGGACAGGTCGTTTCATCCAAGTCCTGCGAATGTTGGACTTGGCGGCCCCGAAAACCGGTTTTAAGTCTTGCCTCTGTCACGTGACATTGGGTTTCTCCTTTTCGGGAGAGTGTCCAAAGAAGCATTGCATTTTGAATATGCCATGTGCATCTCATTATTATTATTATTATTATTATTATTATTATTATTATTATTATTATTATTATTATTTTCTTTTTTCCATCTTCAATTTTGACTTTGACTTTAATATCGATGGCAAAAGTTATATAAGATTAGAAAAGATTTATTTTTTTGTTTCCTCATCATCCTTTTCATTCTCAAATATTGAACAATTATTCCTCTACCTTGACGTCCTTGTTAATTAATCGTATTCTTCAAATTATATATGGTCAAGTTAACATATGTGTTACAATGTCAATGTTAAACAAAATTATGTAGATGAGAAGTGATTAATTAATATTTCTGAAATAATGATATCGCGCCATCTATTTTCTTTTTATGCGAGTATTATCATTGATCGATAAAGTCAAATATTTTTTTGTAATGTTACCATCCACATTGACGTTCAAAATTGTAAATATTAAATAAATATTGCAAATACGAAAAAAAAATGTATATATATATATATATATATATATATATATATATATATATATATATAAAGCGTCCAGACATAGTTTTCATAAAAATAATTCACCGTTTTATGTTAAACTTGACTTTTTTGTTAAAAATTCAATTTAATTTTACAAAAATTTGTATGTATATATCGTATGTAACGAAACAAAATGAATGTAATAATTAGGATAAACCTAATCGTTTAAAATGTTCATCTTATTTGTGTGTGTGTGTGTATGTGTGTGGTGTGTAATGTGTGTATGACAGAAGAGCCATCAATGGATCATATTATTCGCAGTTAAGCGATCACGCTTCCTCAAGGTTAACGCCCACGTCACGAAAGGTCGACGCCTAGATTGCTCAGGGTCAACGCCCGGAGCAGTCGAGGTCAACGCCCTGATAATTCAAGGTCAACGCTCCTATTGCTCTCGAGGTCGCTACTGCGAAGTAATACGCGGGAAAACCATGAAAGAGGAGACTCGTATTACCAATCGTAAAAATGATGTGTTCTGAGTGAATCACTTATTTTTACTTTTTTTTTATTCTCTCTCTTTTATATACATGTGTGTGTATATATATCACAAAACTTCCTCTAATTATTCTTTATTCTGTCTATATAATTTTTTTTCTAATTTTATTTTTTTTGATTCAAACAAATATGAATTTCATATTAATTAATGAAAAAGAAAAAAGTAATAAGAAAGAAAAAATTAAAATTAAAATAAGAAATAAAAATAAAATAAAATAAAATTTTGTCTCGAGTTCTTGCAAATATCGATCGAATAGGGCGTGTCTAAGATTTTCTTAAGAAGATTTAAAGCTAACAAATAAATTCTTTACATTTTCAATCGGCAATCAATAAAATATATGTATACATATATATACATATATATATATATATATATATATATATATATATATATATATATATATATATTATGATTAGACATAATTACATATAAATAAATAAATAAATATATATATATTTAATTGATTAGACATAAAAAAAAAATTGTTAGAAATATATCCTAATTCGATTGATTTAAATTATGTACAGATTGAAAGTTAAAAATAATTTTTATTAAAAAAATTGTATTGTTAAATATAAAGGGTAAAAAAGAAAAAAAGAAAAGAAAAAGATTTTGGACTAATTACAGTAGAATTATATATACTGTTAAGGAAGAGTAAATCTGAACAATCATAATGGGTGTGCCCTTCTCTATCTATCTCTTTTTCTCTCTTTCGACCCTTCTCTACCTCTTTTGAACGGTCTACGCGCGCGAACTTGAGCGTAAATTCGTTTCCGGCTACGGACGGGGCTTACCGGATTTCGAGCGTTTCTGAAAACTGACACACACATGCACACACACACACATACATACAGAGAGAGAGAGAGAGAGAGAGAGAGAGAGAAAGCCACATTGTGTTTGCAGACGAATAAATCTGAGAAGTGACGATGAACTGTTATTATATACTTACAAAACTTATCAAGCCTGCCGTTTTTATTCTTATTTATAAATAAATTCATTAATTAAACGATCAATAATTTAATCTCTTTTTTTTTATTCTATTTACTTAATATTTAAGATAAGTAACATTTACAATTAATGGAGACACTAATCGAATAGTTAAATATTCTTTTTGGATATCACGATTTATCCTTGTGAAAATTAAAAACATATTGTATTAAAGTAATATTTAAAGGGAATGAGAAGAGATTACAATTAAAATTAATATCAATATAATACTAATAGTGACAGTAAGATTGGTCTAATATTAAAATTAATATAACATTAATATTAACATGATAATAATATTATGTAAATAATATAATTATACCGGGGAGTGTAAAAGATATAAGATTATCAGAAAAGTTTGAATGAAGTAGAAGAACAGTAGTAAGGAAAAAATTGTGCCATCGAATTTTCTGAAGGAATCCAACAGTAGTAGTTGTGATAATAGTAGTGGCAGTAGTAATAGTAATAATAATAGTAGTAGTAGTAGTAGTAATAGTAGTAGTAGTAGTAGTAGTAGAGGAAATAATAACGAGCCCGACGTCGCAGTGCCGCAAAGGTTGACGACCCGACACGAGGCGACGCCCTCTCGCCCCTAACTCCTTCCCTAGACTCCCTCCGTCAGAGCATGGCCCTTCGGCATCCCCGTTGCAGTCGACGCAACCACCCCTCTTCTACCTCCAACACCGCCGCCGGGCTGATAGCGTACGCTACGTACGCTAGCCACGGCCACCACCCCCACTGATACATCCCCTTCCCTCCCTTTACCTATCCCAGCCGTCGCTACTGCTACCACCACCACCACCACCACCACCACCACCACCACCACCATCACCACCACCACCACTATCACTACCAGCTTCAGCAGCAACCACTACCATTACCCCGACCGACTGTCTGGCCAGGGTCGGGGTCGTTGAACGTCTATAAAGATTTTGACTTGGCGTTGCTACTGCTACTGCTACTGCTACTGCTGATGCTCCTGGTGCTGTTGCTGCTGATGCTACTGCCACTACTACTACTACTATTACTACTACTACTACTACTACTATTACTACTACCACTACTACTACTACTACTACCACTACTACTACTACTACTATTACTACTACTACTGCTAGTACTACTACTAACTCCTATAATTCTTGTTACTGCTGCCACCTTTACCTCTGCAGAAAGTGTAGGAACCTACGAGGAGGTACGCCCTTTTATACAGGGTGTACCATTGAAAATTAGATTTCTAAAGAGAAAGAACAAATTAGATTCATCGATCCGATTCTTTTTCTCATGAAAATTTATGAGATTAAATTTATAGAAGATATATCTAAAATAATTTTCTTATCTGCGATGAGATATTGTTCTTTTCGGAAATATAAAGATTTTGAATCATTAGAGAAGTGTCTGTAATTCATCAGGAATAGTATTATATCCATGAGAATCGTATTGATTCCGAAATGTAAAACTTCATCAACCCTTCCCAGCTATGGTAGGTCGCGAGCCCAGTCGGGGTCAAAGGTCGATGAACGTCTGCAAAGATTTCGACCCTACACTCTCGATATATATGTACGCGAGCGCGTATGTGTGTGTGTGTGTGTGTATGTATACACACATCGTTTAGGTCGGAAAACCACCCTTGTAGACTTCTCATTGGACTAGTACGTTTAAGTAGTCAAATACGAATATGATCAGACATTAATGTGACTCAAAGGAAAAATAGATACTATATTACTGCTTTATTAAATTCATTTCACATTTTATTGTTTATGAGCACTTTGAGTATAATCAAATGAAAGTAATAAAAATCCGATTTTTTATGGCATACTCGAAGAAAACAATTTCCTACACGCAAACTCAATGATCGTAGAAATGTACTTAACGATGCAATTTAATAGACTTTACTAATCTTACAATCAAAATGATAATGCAAAGGGGTTCACTGAACTCGGCATTGAATTCATTGATTAATAATAAAAAAAATATAATTCTTTCTCTAAAAAGATAAATTTAAGGAAACTTAAGAAATATGTTTTGCATATGTAAATCGAATAAATTCGTGCCTTATCTCGATTAGAATGATGATACTACAATCTTATTCGATCCACGTTTGAGAAAATAGATTAGAAACCTGCCAAGTGTACCTTTAAGGGTAGTAGAAAATTCCGGAACGTCTGGGGATGGTAGAGAGAGAGGGAGAGAGGGAGAGAGAGAGAGAGAGAGAGAGAGGGAAAGAGGGCGTTTTCCCAGGGTCAAAGGTCACTCAAGATTTATAGAGACTTTAACTTCGAATTTCGAAAAGGAGATCAAAGATTCATACGAATTTATCCTATTTATCAAATATTCTATCAAAATGATTGGTTGTATATTTAACTATTAAAAATGATTCCTATTAATCATTAAATAAACGTCAAAATTTCTATTTTGCATATCTATGAAATAAATTGCATATGTCTTAATTAATAAAGTAATTCTTTAAGTGTAAAATAATAAATAAAAATAAGTAGAGTGTTTGCGACTTACCTTACTGAAATAACCAACTGTATGACATCCTTCAGAATCGCCTATAGTCATCACGTAGAAGAGGAATGGTTCCACGTCGTAGTAAAGAGTCTTATGATCCAAAAAGAACTTTGCTAGGAGACACAAATTTTGGCAATATTGTTTGTAACGTTTACCGTCCACTTCCCAGACGCCAATTTTATCTTTTCTGGAATGAAAAAGAAAAAAAAAAAAAAAAAAAAAAAAGAAAAAAAAAACAAAAAAGTACATGTTTCAAATATATTATCACAAAGTAAAAATATCTCTTATTTTATTATGATCAATTAGCTGATATATATACCGACCTGTATACCTCATGTCCCGGTGGATGTCTCCACAAACACTTTTCTCGATGTCTTCTTAATACCTGACGACTTTTTGCATATCTCAGACAATATTCGCAAAGGTAAAGTTTAGGAGCACGACTAAATTCTTCCGGATATGGACTTTGATACCAAACTTCCATTTCCCATTTTCCCATTTCGACACAACGTGTGCCACCACTGTTTCTACCTTCTCCATCATAATCCAATTCTTTTAACTCTTTCTCCTATAATTGATAAGTTCAAAAAAAGAAAAAATAAGTTCCAAGAAGAAAAAGATTTTAGGTATAGCATATAATAGATATTGCTTACTATTTTTTCGCTGGCAATTGCTTGAGCTTCCATAAATAATTTCAGATCATAATCCGAGGTGAGATTATTTAAACGCGGTTGTCTGTCCTTTTCATTTCCAGGAAGATCGTTACCACTGTCACTCCCATTATCTTCCCCGGTGTGAGGCTTCCATTTGTTTCTCATTTCTTTAACTTTAAGTTGATAATTACGTTGCTCGGTTGTCTGATGTCCTCCTTTAGGTGATTTTTTAGCAAGATTGCCTATCGATTTCTTTCGTTCTTCTTCCCTTTTCTTCCTTTCCTTGTAGAATTCTCTACAATAATTAATAATACAAATATAATATCGCACAATGTGTATATTACGATACGAAGAAATGATAGATTCCTTTTTATCTTTACTTACATGCAATTTTGTGGCGTAGTATTGTGATACAAAGGACAAGCTTCCAAGGTAAAATGCGTGTCCAGTTTTCCAGAAAGATGACCTCGGGAATCGCAGCATGCTGCCAATGGACATTCTCTTTCTTTGGTAGTACGTGTGCGATTATAAGAGTTTTGTCCGGTTCTATTAGCGACCGTATTAGATCCAGTACTGCTCTGTGTCGTTCTATTCACTGCGGATGATGAATGTCTAGCGCCCTGACCAGGACCAGCACGCTTAACTGGCGACTTGCTCGTACTTCTCTTGCTTTCAGCTACTCCCGACAAATCACACCGGATCAGTGGAATTTGCAGGATACGTTTACGCTCTATCGTTTCCGTACCTGAGAACCATACTGCCGCCATAAGCAAAAAGACTGTATCTGCATCTTAGGACACCTTGGACATGTTAGTTTTCAATACAAAAGATCTCTCTCCCATTGATCAGCAGAATCCTACGAGCCATTTATATATGTCCAATTCATCCATCCATCCATAACCGCAAATACTGCTTTTTTGTGTTAAGGTGGCAGCATAGAGTCCTATATATTCACTCCCTGCATAAAGTACCCTTCTCTTTCTCAAAACTATACATGCTTTTACAAAATAATCTACCCCTTTTATGTACTCTTCAATTAATTTAAATAATAATTTAAGGAACATGCTCTTAAAGATTGATAGGGAAAAGCCCAAAATATTCTTTAGTACTTAAGTAATCGATAAGAAAGTTAATAAACAAACCATTATGATAGAATAAAAACTAATATATACAGAATACAACTAAAATTAGAAAGTAATCGTCAGTTGGTAATGCACTATAATAAATAATATGTCCACCTGTATCCGATTCTGAGTCACTAGCAGCTTTTGCTTGCAGTTGTAATAGCTTGCTTCCTTTGCGAGTTTGTAACTTCCTTTTGCCTTTAACCGTTCCTTTAGAAGAACTCACTTCTATATTGTCATCCATTTCTTTATCACTGCCTGATGCATCCCCATCATCCTCACTTTTTATTCTACCTGCATGTAAATATATATATATACATGTATATGTATATAAATTAAAAATATTCAGCAATTAAATTATATGAATCACAATATATACCTTGTCTCTTCGTACATTTTAAAGGTTTAACTGGTGCTACTGTTGCTGACGGTCTTTTTGGTTGTGTATTTGTAGTGATATTCTGTGTAACAGGTGGTGGAACATCCTTCTTTTTAGGTTGAGATTGCGGACTAGTAACGCTTTCCGAGGAATCAGAATCGCTACTGCTATCTGTTGAACCAGAGGAACCTGATCCGCCCGAACAGCTCTTTGAACTGGCCGAGCTATCTGACTTTTGGATTTGCGGAGTTTTAGCAACTAGCGCTGTGATCAGTGAAAAATCCATTTGAAAATTTTTCTCTTAAAATACAATAGCAGTAAAAGTAAATATAAATATTCATAACTTACCAGGTCTTGATGGTATGGTAGGTTTTATTTTGGGCTCAGCAGTTTTTATTTTAGGTGGAGCTTTTGCACATTTTACAGTATTGTTCGCTGCTTTTATCGCATTTATTTTTGGTGGAGAAGCATTGTCACTTTCACTACTATTTTCAGGACTAAATATACTCTTCTTTTTTAATTTCTTTTGTACCGGTTCCGATGTAATTTTCGTAGATTTATCCGCTACTTTCATATTTGTTCCTGAAGGCCCTGAAGTTTTATCAAATAAAACTATTACATTTTTCATAGTATAATATATTAATCAATAAGATATATAAAATCTTTAGGATTATTAAATTTTACCTGAAAGTTTGGTTTGTTTATTGCTTGGCTTTGCAGCTGGTATATTTTTATGTTGGGCAACATTAGATGCTGGTTTAGTTGGCGGTTTTTGAACTTTAACTACAGGTGCTACAGTAGCAGTAGCTTTAGGTTTGGCAGGTAGTTTTCTTTTCACAGATTTGAGCTTACTAGGTGATTCTTCAGATTCAGATGAATAAACCACTGGTCTAGACTTAGGTTGTACTTTCTCCTTGTTTTTATTTTCTGCCGTAGTAGTAGGAGTTGGCTCAGTTTTAGATTTGACATGTCTTGCGGCTGGAAACGGTACCTTCTTTTTAGATCTTTCCGAATCAGATGCCTTTTGACTATTAATAGAACTGCTGGAGTTTTCTGAATCAGACGAACTAGATTCACTGCCAGAACTTGAGGAACTACTGGATGAAGAGCCAGAGCTCGAAGATGAAGTAGATTCCGAGCTAGTAGTCTGTGTTGATAGAAAACAAAATTATGTACAACTTAAATAATTGTTATAAATTATAAAATGTTAAATATTATTTACATTCTATTTGCTTTTCATCGTTCGATAATGTTAACAGCAAGTATTAACTATGAAAAAAGGGATAATAATAGTATCGCACAAAACAATGACATAATTTGGTAAACATAAAAACTTACTTTGCGTTTTGGCGTCATTTCTATGATGTTATCTTTCTAATGAATTTGAAAAATCATTAAATATCATTTCTTTTGTAAATTCTACGAGTATACATTCACGAAAATGATTTATATTTTCAATATTATTTCGCGCAAAATAATGATATTATCGTTACGTATACATAGAAAATACTTCACATTAACCGTATATTAGTTAAATCATAGTGATGCCACTCCATTATATGTTTTGTTCTATAGAGAAATGATACTCATCCTTCATTTTCTCTCATTCATATATGTGAAATATTTAAAAATAAATATTTTAATATATCAAATATTATTTTATTAATTTATTATTTTATTCTCATTTTATATGTAAATTTCAATTAAAAAGAGAATAATATTTGAATAATACGTAATGGACAGCCATCTTGGTACTGAAGTTTCCTCGAAAAAATACTAGAGGCACTGTACGCACAATATTCATTTTCATATTATGACATATTCTCATCTATACACATAGAAATGTAATAAAATGTTTTGACAACTTGTCAAAATAAAAAAAATGTCAAAAATATGATTCTCTTTTAATTGGCTTTTAACTTATTTTTTATTATACCAAAGGAATGTAGAAAATTAATATAATAATAAAATATGTGTATAGTTAAAAATAGTGTAAAATTGTGTGATATCATAACAAATTATGATCTGTCTTTTGTGTCAAGACAAAAAGAGAATAAATGAATTGATGATACATTAATATATATTTACTTTCTTAATTTTAATTTTTTTTTTTTTTTTTAAGAAGAAATGATCTATAAAATACGTACTTTATTTAAATATATATTTATATTGGGCATTCTTCTTTTATTAATTCAGGTACGCATATGTGGATGAATAAATTATCCATTGGCTTTGTATTTTAAAATGAAATAATAAAGAAACGTATTAATAATACAAAATTGATATTTTCATTTTCAGTTATTTTTATTTCATAATGCCAAACTTTTAAACGAAGATGGTAATCTATTATGTGTATATGTGTATATATATATATATATATATATATAGCTCTTTTCACTGTATCAATATAAAAAAAAAATTGATTATATATTTATACAGATAAAAATATACCTGTGATATTGTGGTGGACACCTTTTGGTAATAACGGATTGACCAAAATATGTGGATACAATAAATGTTATTTTACATATAATCGTACATACGAAAATAACTCTCGACTAAAAGTATTATTTGTATATTATTGTTACTTTATATACAATACAAAGCTCTTATTAAATGAAAAATACATTAGTCTCTGATTTTAATTTAATATATATTAAATAATAAAGAGAATTTAAATTAAGTATAAATAATAATAATAATAATAATAATATATATATATATATATTTTTTTTTTCCAGGCCATTTTATTTTACGGAAGTAATTTTCAAATTAATGATTTACCAAAGTGGAGATCTGCATTTGTGCAATGGGGTTTGATCCACGAAGAATCTCCTAGAAATAATCCTATATTCGTACACTACAAAGCTTTAAATCTTTTTAATTATTCCTCAACGTTTAGTAGATTCAGTAATGTACCACTTTATTCCATCGATCTACCCAATGAAGAAGAACTATTAGGTATATATATATATATATAGATATATACATATATATACACACACATATATATATATATTTATATGATAAAAAATTTATGCTTTTATTATAATATTTATGTGGGATTGTAGGAAAGAAATATTTTGTATCGACTAAAGAAAAAACAGATTTAATCGAAAACGAAAACTTCGCACCATTATTGTATATTCAATCGGATTGTAATACTGCAAGTAATAGAGACTCATATATTTTAGAATTAATGAAATACATTAAAATTGATTCTTATGGTTCATGTATAAATAATGCTCGCCTAAACGAAAGGTATATATACATATACATATACATACACATATACATATATATATGTACGTATGTATGTATATATTGTTATAAGGTTAAGATTTATAAGAAAAGAATACGTACATTTAATTGTGCTAATATCGATTTATATCCAGGTTAAAAAGTAATTATTTAGATAAATTAAATAGCAATGAGTTTCTATCGTTTGTGGCAAAGTATAAATTTACATTAGCTTTTGAGAATGCTATTTGTAATGACTATATTACAGAGAAACTTTGGAGACCACTTGTCGTAGGATCTGTACCTATTTATTATGGATCTCCTTCATTCAAGGTAAATGTTTATAAATATTAAAAATTTATTTACTTTATGTCAAATATTATAATGAATTTTTTATTGTTAATTTATAGGACTGGTTACCAAATAATAAGTCTGCAATTTCAGTATTAGATTTTTCTGAACCTAGAGAATTAGCAAATTTTCTATTTCATCTTTTAAATAATGATATTGAATATGAAAGATATTTAATTCATAAAATAGGAAGAGAAGAAGAAAGATTAACGAATAAACGATTATTAGATGTATTGAAAAAGAAGTCTACGAAAGATGCACATAATTTTGGTTATTACGTAGAAGAATATGAATGTTTCGTTTGCAAACAAATACATAATACTCAAATTAAAGAAGAAATAAGTATTGTTTCGAAGAAACATTATGATTGCCCTTTACCAATAAATTTATTATCAGGTAAAGCCGATGAAAATAATTTTTGGGTAAATCAATGGAACTTAGAAAAATGTGGGGCAAAATTGTTAGAACATTATGTATTAAATAATATAACTATTGATATTAAAAAGTATGATGTTGAAAAATTTGAATTATATAACAAAAATAATTGTTAAAGAATTATTCATATATTAATTATGTACAAATTATGACTGCTTTATTCAGTATAATAAATTTGAAAAGATAAGAAAGAAAGAATAAAATAAAGTTCCTTACGGTTGTTGATGCTTGATGAATGAAAATATTCTATTATTTCTGTATCTTGCAAAACAGGAATGTTTTATTTTAAGCCTGTATTGAGATCTATATATGTAATTTGGTGTTGATTAGATCATTACTCGAATTAATTAAACTTACATTCAAATCTGTATAATGTTAAATCGTATAATAGAAAATAAGTAATTCACCTGAGTATTAGTATTTGTATATTAAAAGTATCTATTAATTTGCAAATTTAGCCTGTAAAACTGGTGCAGGCACTTTCATTAATTCACACAGATGATTTCTTATAGGCCTTAATTCAGTAACTGATTGTTCCCAATCTGTACCATTTAATTCTGTCAATATACTTCCTAAGTCTTCCTCGGATAAATCCATTTCTTCTCCGTAAAGCGTTAATGCTTCATAAGTACGTATAGCTGTTACTTTGCGTAAACATTTATATTTGTGGCATAAAAATATACTTAATTGACAAAATGCTCTTTTTCCTATAAAGCCATGCACCTATAAATAATTAAATTTATAAGATAATATTAAATTGTAAATATCCTTTTGAATAATAATCATCATTTTACAAGGATTTATTAACAAACCTGTAAAAGTTGACAAAAAACGTTTATACTACTAATTAGCATTTTTGTGCTGGTTGTATATTTTATTTCTTGTTTCAATAGCAATAATATACGTTCAGGTATATCACTATCTGGATCATCTAAAATTATTTGTATACAGCCTGAACTTAATAATCTATCCAAAAATGCTAAAATTGAAGTAATCATTCTTTCATTCTTATGGCTCTCTTTGAAAATATTGACCATTTTGTCACATAAATCTCTCAGACTTTTTTCATCTATTTCTTTCAAATAAGTGAATAAAGCCACACTAGAGTACTTGACCTATATAATATAAAAATTAAATAAGAAGAGTAATTTTGAATTTTTATAATCTATTTTGTTGTATTACTTACTAAAGATTCACTTAAACCACCAACACTGAATATAATTCCTCTCAAAAGATTCATAGTATAAGGTGGGAATTCCAACATTTTTATGAATCGTGGAAATGTTACCGATTCCATTCTCCATTCTATATTATTTTTACATTCGCTCAAAGGAAATATATTTTTAAGTTCAGAATGATATGGTATATTTGGAAGTGGAGGTTCGCTGATGTATGAAGAAAAAAGAAAAAGAATATAATTATTATAGAATTATTGAATGTAAGAAATGTGTATGACTGACCTATGAATAAGAGCACTGAAAACAATGCCAGCTTGAGCACGAATTCCATCTATTCTTTCGACAGCTTGTTGAGCAATACCACCAATAATATTTGTCATTAATGATTCATTTAGCAAATATAATAAGTTAGCTTGCAGAACTAAATTAGTGAGCACCTTAAAAGAAAGAAAAATTATTTTAACTGATATTATTATTAATAATAATAATAATAATAATAACACAGGCATATTATATTGTGCTCACGTGTAAACCAGTCATAGCTGCTTCTCGTACCCAAGCACCTATATCTCCACGGCTATCTATCGTATATTCCTTTAGAGCAAATAGATAACAATTATATATTTGAGGAGCGAATACTTGCCACACATCTGTAAAAATTATAAAACATTATTGAAAGTACACTATCTAATTTCACATTAATCAATTGTTTATTAAACATACTTACCTGCCTCGTTAATATTTAACGTTTGTATTATCATTGTCAAAGAATGTAATGCTTCTTTCCTACTCTCCGCCCATTTTAATGTATCATCTGATATACTTGTACATTGAATTAATGCTTCTATAATATCCTTTACTCTTGACTTTTTTATAAAAAGAGGAAAATGTCCTATCAAAATAGAAACTGTATATATCCGTTTGCTACGCGTACATTAACATTTGAATAAATCTTATTATCTCACCTACTGCTTGTGCAAATCCTATTCTAACCACTTGGCTACTCGATTTCAAATTGTCTAAATAACGATTTACTACGGTATTACAAATAATTGGATCCATGTTTGTGTAATATTCGGTAAAAAATTCTGTATGTGCTTCTGCAGCTTTTAACTTGACTGCAGATACCTCGTGACTTAAACATTCCTCCAATAAATTCTGCCAATCGTCTTTAAAATGAAATTCATATAAATAATTTATAATTTAAATAATTAATAAAATTATTCTATTAATGGAATACCTATAATATTAGTGCAGTGAATAGGAAAATGAACGATCGAGCATTTCTTTATGAATACGGCGCAAGCTTGCTTCATCAGTTCTCCGCCTAGACCTTTAAATTGACCTCGTTTTTGAAACGTACATATTACACTTTTTATTTCATCGACAGCTGAGGATTCTGAAACACGAAATGGTTTCATTTATTTTCAAATCTTATTATTATAATTAATATATTATAATTTCATGTTAGAGGATTAACCAATTATTGTTTCGATTTTTTTCCCAAAATGATTATACAGAGCTTCTAATATTTCTGCAATAGATAATACTGCTCCATGTCTAACATTTAAATCAATTGAATTCAACATATCCAATAAATTTGTTATTACTATTTCTATCATATATTGTGGATCTGCTGGTGTTAAATTAAACAGAGCCTGAAATAAAATGTTGGATATTAAATAAAATATAAAAATAGATATAACGTGATAAAATTATAATCATATTTTATCAGATCATTACTTTAGCTGATAATTCTCTAATTGCAGTATCCCAATGTGTAACCTTCCTTGTAACCAAATGTTCGATCAAAGCTTTGGTATATTCTTCATATTGAGCAATGTGTACACTAAAAAGTATTATGTTATATTATATTATATAACAAAAAGAAAATAGAAATTTGAATGTTCTTACAAATGAGAAATATACCTTATTTTAAGAAATGCATGACTTCGCACGCCTACTTCAAAATAATCAGCTACAGTCAATATATCTATACCATGAGGAAAATTTCCTTGTCTTCCAACGTTTTCTTGAAATGCTGCCGAAGCTGCGCGTCTACAGTTTATCTGTAAATATAAATTCATTTAGAACTTTCTCGTTCAATTTAATCGACAATAAAAAAATATCTTTACCTCTCTGTCAAAACACGTTACTACTAATAAAGTAGCTGCTATTTCCTTTACGTAAGGTTGAAATACATCCGGATCATATGCTCTAGGAAAAGACCAACAAATGTAACATGCTGAATCTCTGATTAAATAACCAATTGAACCATAAGCTCTTGGTTCGTCAAAAACAAGTGCTTGAAGTACCACGGGAATCACGTCACTTAAACGATGAGGTAACAATAAACCGCGTCTTCCTGAAATGTATGTGATGCACATGTTAGTTAAAGTAATAAAATAAATGTAAAAAAAAAAAAAAAGATGTAACCCAATATCTAATTCTTAAATCTTACCTAATTCTGCTAATGCTAAGCAACCACCATGCCATGCAGAATCTGATTCACGTCCAGAAAAGAGATTTAATACAAATCCTACGACATCGTCTGCTAAGTCTACTGGTAATCTGGCTGTTATTCTACCAATACCTTTTGCAGCAGACCACCTACCATCGATAATAGAGTAATAATTTGATTAAAGTTAGAAATAAAACAAAAAGTATAATAATATAATTGTTTTTATTATTCTTTGGATACCTAATAGTGATGGCTTTATCTCTAAGACCTTGAATTAAATGTTCAATAATATCCTCTATAGCTGGTGGTATTTCTTGATCTTCATTATCATTTAATATGTTCTCCTTATTATCAATGCTTTCAGTGCCATTGTTTTTATTTAAATTTGGCAACAAACTAATCGGTCTATTCATTCTTTGATATCTCCAAGATGCTAATTTTGTTCTTAATAACACAAAACCTAAATATATGAAATGATATTAGGTTAATAACAAAGAATTATACAATAATTTTTAGAACTTTCAAATATCATATATTACCAATGCGTTGCACAACTTTCATCCCAAATTTTCTTATAAGATCTGCTGGATTATTACTCAATTGTAATTTGGAAATTTTTTCAAAAAGCATTGTGCTGTACGGCCGTACATCTTCTCGTGCACCGTGTTTTAATATTGAAGCTATTACAGCTAAAGGTCCATGTCTTAAAGGATCATTTTCAACAGACTACAATAAATATAAATAATTTTAGATTACAAAACTAGTAAACATAAAATTATAAGTATGACCATAATATTATGTACCTTTAAACACCATATTATCATTTCTTCGAGATACAGTTTTTTCACATCTGATCTTGTCAAAAAATTAGCTATTAAAAATACTGCTGCTACGGCACATGCATCCTTCGATAAACAATATAATTTGCATACTTTCATAATCCTAAAAGAAATATACAATAGTATATTTATTGGCTCATTAAATACTACATTTATAATAAATATAAAAATTATTCATTTCTTGCAATTGAAATTAAGCAATACCATACATAATAATATAATAATGAATGAAGTAAGAATACCTGACCATGATTGTTTGCTCTGGATCAATAGTATCAGATGTTTCTAAACGAGACAATGGAAATGGTATTTTTGAAATAATAGATAACCATATTAATAAGACATATCTTGTTTCCCATGTATCTACATCGTTTGGATCTTGTTTCTCTAATAGACGTAATACGGGTAAAAGGTCTGCAACCTAGATAATAATTATATTAGATATAATCTATAATAAAAACTAAAATATATAATAAAATAAATACCTCATGAGGAAGATATGTAACAATCTTTTTGTAAGTCTTAACAGACATAATAATAAACAGATACTTGAAAGCATTGTGTTTCATACTTTCTGTAGAATTATCATCTCTGATAATCGAAAGTAAAGACTCTAAAATATTTTCAAGATATGGATCAAGAAGTTGACGTTGATCTTGATACTGTGACAAAATGAAATTAAAGCGATCTCTGTTTCTTTCTGTAAGACTTGGAGATAAGTCTGTTTTTTTTATATCCTTGATCAATTCGTTTACTTCGTCTACTTCTTTGAAAGCACTAAAACCACAACCTATACTTTCTGGATCTGGACAATCATTTAGCACCATTTTGGTTATATATCTTTAATATTCTCTTTCACTCTTGATTAATGTATAATATTAAACGAAATCAAGATCATCCCTTATATATTTTATATGTATTTTAAATATTGTCATGCATATCAAATCTACAAAAAAATTATTATTGCGCAAAACCGGTTATATGACAACAAAAACACAATTTGACAGATCGACGAATATCTGTTCAATAGAAACAATAAAAGGAGTATACTTAGGCTTAATTTTCATAAAACTGACTGACTGACTAGAAATTGGATTATTTTGTAAACCAGTCTTTCTATATGCCATAGACTATGTAATACTGATAGAGGACAATTGCATTAAGCAATATATATATATATATGGAGGAGAACTAACACAGGAGCCATCTGCAGTGAAATCATGATACTAATTTAAAATTTCTAAAGAATTTAATTAAAAATTCGTTCTATTTCCGTCATCTAATTTCACTTTTTTACTTACACGATTAAACAATATTAACAATTTTTATTTAAAAATAAATTAAAATTTTGAATGAATTTTTGTAGATGTCACTAATGACAGTATGGTTGAAAACAATGACAACGCGATTGGATGGGACCTTACTTTTGTCAAGATTTAACCAATCAACATGAAAGTTTCGAATAAGAAAATTCACAAAATACAAATATATATATTTATATATGTACATATATATATATATATACACACACAGACACATATGCATAATATGTTCCAATGCGCATGTGAATTGGATGCGTAGTCTAGAGAAATGTGGTCAATTTCCCAGTCTGTGCCTCTGTGGTGTTTGTATAATAGGTTACACTATATCCGAATATGACATTTGTAACTTGTAAATATTATTTATTTTATCCAAATAATTTCACTTAGGTGTCTGAACTGATTAATAAATATTTCGATTCACCGAGGAAGTGTGTGTTATTTATTAGTTAATGTGAGGTTATGATAAGAAAATTGACTCGCGCTACATCCTGTGTCCAATGTTTACTATTAAACAATTCTTAAAGAACTTTAAAGGTAAATCATTCTTTATTACATCTTACGTATATGTAATAATATATTTTATTGTTTAATCTTTCCTTTAAAATTTACATAACCTCCTATTTAGTGTGCCTGCTTGTTTTGACATTTAGTTAGATTCGAACTGTAATGAGAGTGGATAGTGAGACGATTTCTACGATTAGTTTAAGAGAATTTAAAAAAAAATATCTTTTTTTATGAATGTTGTACGATAACAAAAACAATCGCGATTTTTATCATATTTAAAAAAATATATTATTTATTTGTTAATATAGTAAGATTATTTGTTTTATAATAATGAAGATAAACTATACTATCGCAATAGTTTTACCAATAAATAAAAAAATAAAATGTCTATCAGTAAATAGACATTTAATATTTCAGAAATATAATTAAAACTATTAAAATTCATGTTTAGTAATATATGAAATGTATAGAAGATAACAATTAACATGATTATACCCCTTGAAAATTCTGTTATTATGAATGCATTTTTCCAAGAGATTTATTACATGAGAAATTAAATTAGATTTGTTTAAATAATAATAAATACTTAAAAAAATCTTTTACATATGTTATTCTCACAAAATTGAAATATATAATTACTTTTTGTTGTTTTGTATATTCCATAAAAAAAAAAAAAAAAAAAAAAAAAAAGAAAAAAAAAAGAAAGAAAGGAAAAAAAAAGAACAAAAAGAAGAAAAAGAAAACAGAAAAGAAAGAAAAAAAATAAAATATTAAAGCAAGAACAAATTTGTATTAATTTATTTTATACACAAGTCAAATATATACTATTAAAAATATCATTGTATATTAGAAAAAAAAATTGAAGTGAACTACTAAGTATATATACTTTTGTGTTTTGTTATGATTGCATGTTTGAATGATATTTTTTTATGATTCTAATGCAAAAATACTTTTTTTTTAAAAGATCTCCTATATAGTTCAGTCAATTCTAATTTCTCTTTTCAGAATGTGATGGAATATTGTCGTACCAGATATGACATTAAGTGAATTTAACATTGATAAACTACAATGATTGGTGCACCTAGTAGTTTAGAAGATGCGTGTCGGCAGGCTCAGGTTAAAGAATTTATAAATTCTTTTTCTTTCTTTGAATTCTATTAAATTTGATATTGATATAAGATATTATGCATGTAGGAAATGATAAATCATGCATCAAGATATTGGAAAAATGTACAGGGACAAAGTTCTTTAAATTTAGCGACAGATAAATTGGTAACATCACAGAAAAAGGAATATGCTCCTTCTAAGCATAGTATCCAAGCTAAATTAACAAGGCTTTATTTTGAGGAATTATCTAAATTTCCTCACGCTACACCTGACTCAGTCTTGGTATGTTTTAATTTAAAAATGATTGACAAACTTTTATGATCAAACTTTTATCAGTTAAAATATGATTTATTGTGTAATTTACTTTTCATATATATATCATGGTTATAAATTAGTAAATATTTTTTTACTTTATACAATGATTATACAGAACAATTTAGAGAATGAATGTGATCTTTTGGGACGATTAGTGCAAAGAGAAGGCTTGCACACATTAATTGTTAATCTTTATGCTGGTAATAAAGGATACTCATTAGGTGTTAGAAATAGGTATGTTGTTGTTCATATATGTTAATAATTTAGATTATACTTATATATTATCTATTGTTATCTTTATTTTATAAATGTTTGGTTCAATAAAATTGTTTTCAGTTTGGACAAGGGAAATCAGTACGAAAAAAATTCTTTACTTTCTGAAACTCAACTGATGGGTTATGAACAGGGTGAACTGCTTTCATGCATAGACAATGGCCAATTGCCTGCAATGCTAGCAGAGCAGTTAGAAACTAGCCACTCTCATTTATTCTATGATGGCTGCATAATAGCTGAAGTTCGAGATTATCGTAAAGCATTTACTCATAATAAGCCTGAAGTTCATCATGTACTCCTTAAACCTACGACACAGGTAGATAAAAATGATAAAAATGATCATATTATATCGTTTAATTTTTATAGAAAAAAGATCTAATTATGTTATTTATTAATATTCATTTTTGACAACAATTAGAGTGTACTTTCTGATGTATCAACTCTAACGAGCGGTGGAGATTGGAGTCATGAAGAAAGATTAATGCTGGAATCGCAATTAATCGCAGCTACTCAAGGACCTTTATGCTTGGATCCAAATCCTGTTCCTAGTATAGCTACAACGCGTCTCAGGCAGTCTAAACCCCTTCTTACAGATCATCAACTGATGCGTCAAGCCAAAAAGTTTTCTCAGGTATAGATAAAAAAAAAAACTTTATCTTAAATATGAAAATATAAAATTTAGTTATTGAATCCCATTACAATTCTATATTCCCTATAATTAATTATAGGTTACGGTAAACCGAAAAAGGAAATTAGAGCAACTAGCACAACCAGATGGCTTAACAATACAAGATTTAATGCAGAAACTACGTGCTAAAAGAGGATCAGTGACTAGTACTGCCTGTCCAACACCTTCCCTTGTAAATCCTCCTCTTCTTGCCCCAAGTTCACCGATTGATGTTTTAAGGTCATTGATAATATCTTCTTTACTAATTTTCATTTGATCCTACTTTCTGCTATTTAAAAAAATTATATGTATAGATATAATTATATTAAAAAAGAGAATTTTATTAATTAGATTTGCGAAAGCGTATGAGAGACCGCGAGAAACAAAAGACTGTCTGCCACAAGTTATAGAAGAGTATATATTAGAAACTGGCGGGAACCAAGGTGAAGTAGATCACATAAAGCTTTCAATTTTGCAAAGACCTTCTAATTCTGAGTACCTGGGAGAGCTTTATATGGATAAAAATCACCGAGAAGGAGAAAAAAATGGATCTGCGTGTCGGTAAGTTTATTTTATTTTATCTTTATTTATTTATGTATTTTTTGTTTTCTTTTTTCTTTTTCTTTTTTTTTTTTTTTTTTTTTTTTTTTATCCTAAATATCAAAATTTTAATATGAATCAGTTCATCTGTTGAATGACTTCATGCAATGTCAAATTTTTTTTGTTTCCTATAGGTTCACATTAGGGACAAGAGCTTTAGCAAATCATTACATCCAACAATTTACAGAAATATTTACAGAAGAAGGTAGGAAAAATGTTCGAATAAAACATGTAGTACCAGGGCAAACGCCTCGTGTTACATGCACTCCTGGCATGCAACGAGCGCATCAACAGGTTTATATTATACTTAATATCTTCAGTAAAAATCTAAAATGATTTCTCCAACAATTTATTGACATTTTCTAGGCACAACAAGCAAAGGCAGCACAGTTAGTAGCCCAACAATTGCAACAAGCACAGTCCCAACATGTAGCTCAACAGGTTTCTTAAATGTGTTTCTATGTATAATGTGTTATAGATATGATCGATATTTACTACTATACAGATCAAAATTGTTTGTTTCAGATTTTATCACGAGCACAAGGACAATTGAATACTTTAGCTGGGCAAGTAGCATCGATGAAAGCCATGACAGAAGCTACTACATCTGTGCAAAATAATTTGGGAAACATGGATATCACAAATGTGCCTCAAGTTATTTCTCAAAATGATACTACAACTTTGAACACTGGACAACCTTTATCTAATGGAGCATGTACAGCATCTGGTTCTGTACAAATTGACACATCTACGATGTCAGTGACTGACAATAACTCATGCAATGGCTCTGGAATATTAGTTTTTCAACAAAAAACTGCTACTGCTGTCAATAATACATCATCTGCTAATGTCTCCGTTTTGGTAAGATACATAAAAATGATAAATGATAAAATATATTATTTACAATATCTGATAACGATGTATTCTAAATGAAATATCTAATATGTTTTTAGCAAGCTCAATTACAAGCAGGAACACAAAGTTGTATAACTGAAACAGTTAATCAGAATCAGAATGAAATATCTTTTAAAAAACATACGACTAATCCAGCTATAAGTGCCCTCGTTACTTCTCTTATGAACTCTGCTCAGCAATTCCAACAACAAGCTGCAGGTATGTTTTTGTTTTTCCATAACAATTGTTACTCTTTGATGACCCATAGAAATATTTGATATATATACTCCTATATAGCTAATGCTGCAGCAGCTGCAATGAATAATAATGCACAGACTACAAATAAATCGAATAATGCAGCTATTCTTAGTTTACTAAATAGTAGTCCAGCAAATATAGGACAACAAAAAGTTCAGCCACGGAGGATCTCTTTAAATGCTTCCATCCCATCTAGGGTTATTAGTCATGGCAATGTTATAAATGTGCCCAGTACTACGGGTCAGGTATGTATAATAATAATAATAATAATAATAATAATAAAAATATATATAAGTTAATTTTCTACCAAAAAAAGAATGTTATTAATTTTTACGACAATCAAAATTACTTTTATTATTTTAGGTAAGAGTTAGTTTAAGTTCTGCACTAACAGGACAGCTGGCTTGTAAACAGCAGCCTGTAAAAGCAACAGCTGTGAGATTAGCTAGGGTACAAGATCCTACTTCAACTCTCGGCTTATCAATGCCAGGACTCTCAGCTTTGCTTGCTGGTACGAAAAATGATTCTACATAGAAAAAATAATTCTTATCAATTTGATATATATATATATATACACATCTTATATACAAATAATACATATAATTTTTTGTTTTTATAGGTACACCATCTGCAGATAATCCAATCCCTGGTTTCAATTCTACCTCACCGTTACTTGAACGCTTAACTGCTTCTTCCAGTCAAAGTACTCAACCAGCAAGTCCAATGACTAGTCCACCACCTGCCAATGTAAATTTGCAGGGTGTAAATCTCACTAGTTTGCCTAATTCTATCAACGGACTTCAAAATGTTCAGGTTTTAAAGAAAATCTTATTTGTTTTATTCAATATAAGACAGAATATTAATGAATTATTATTTATGTAATAGGTATCATTCCCTGGCTTATCACAACCCATCACAATGTCATTGAATGTGTCAGCAACAACAGGTTCAGTTACACCTACAGGTGTCATCGTATCTCTACCTATATCATCTGCAACTAATACTTGCACTACAGTTTCCAGTGTTAGTTCAAGTTTATATATAGACATATACATATAGAATAAAGTTTCAATACTAATAATAAATTGATTTCAGATGATTGCTGCTACTGTTGTAACGACTGCCATCGCTGGAAGTACACCAACTGTAGTAATCGCGAATTCTGCTAATACTCATTTGTCATTACCAATCGGTATAAGTTCTTTATAAATCATATATCATACATATCGTTAGTATCATTAATAAAAATTATTGATATAAAATAGTAAAATTTTTGATAAGAGAAATTTACATTAATTATTAAATTGTAAATTTCAAATATTTGTAGTTGTATATAATATAATTATAATTGTTTCAGCCCAAATTATACCGTCAGGAGTAAAAGGTTTATCTCAACAAAATATACGCAGCACTAATACAGTGACTTTATCACAGGTATTGTGTAATACTCTAATATAATATTATATATTATAATAAATTTGCATGTATAATATTAATATTTAGGGTGGACAAGCAATTCAACTTATCGGATCTCAAAGGCCTCGACTTAATCATATGGCTCGTCAAGTACAGCCAAGCCAAGTTAAATCGACTGTTTTACCAAATCAATTAGTAACAGTAGCTAAAACAGTAACAGCAAGTCAGTTGATATTATCTGGCAACAAGCAAGTGTTAACTCCTATAATGGGTAAGTGATCTATATAAAATTAATAGACAATTGATATAATATTTCTTTAACACGTTCTCTAGCAATATCAGATTTTGATTTAAATATGAATAAACACAAAGCATGACTTGTAATAAATATTTTTTTTCTATCCTATTATCTTAGAGAACGTGTTAATTCAGTTATTAAATTTATACAATATTTTTTTTCTTACAATTAACAACTATTAAATATTTTATTTTCTATTATGTTTTCTTTGTTTGTTAGCAGCCACCAAACCTGTGCTTATGGCGTCTCAAACAACGCCTTCTTCCCAAATAGTACCTGCAAACAAACAAACTTTACTCACGAAATCTTTGCATGCTAGAGTTTCTACAGGACAATGTAGTCAACAAACACAAAGTCTTGGTATAACTACGCTATCTCAACAGCAAGTATGTATATATTTTGATCATTTATCAAAATAATTCATTTAATAATCGTTAAGTTAATATTAGGAATTTTACTGTTTTATTTATTTTTGTGATAAAAATTAAGAAAAGAAAAAAGATATATTACTTTCTTTCTTTCTATTCTTTTTCTAATTATTATGATTTGTTTTTTAATTCTATACGATGAAATCCGTAGTTACAGAGAACTGTGGTAAAGCCTGTACAGTTGCAACAATTACAACAATGTTTAGCCACTCAACATAAAGTGGCCGTTGCAGCTGCCAGCTCGCAAAACAGAACGCAAATTGAAAATCAGAGGAATTCTGCATCAACTCCCGGAGACGATGCTGTTTGAAAATGTTGCAAATATTAACATTTTCTCCTGTTACATTTAATAATTGAAGCCCACCTTAGAAGAAACATAATGAGGTGGTTATATGTGGTTAATACCATTTAGTTATAAATATAACTTCCACGTTACGTGTAGAATTACATCGATTAATTTCAATTTCTGTATTATCAGAATTTTATATGGGAAACTGTTCGTGCTTTACAAACAAGAAATTTATCAATCAGGCATCGCATAATATAATATATCTCGCCACAAAGAGTGCAATAATTTTTTTACTGCAAATACATTGATTTTCTCTCAAAATGTTGCTTTAAGGAAGGTTTCAATTATTGTATATATATATAACTTATACATACAATATATGATTCGTTTTATATTAAAAGGAAAAAAAAAGAAAAGAAAAGAAAAAAAAAAAAAAAAAAAAAAGAAAAAATGCAATAAATATTTCATTTTTATTGATCTTTACCCTTTTTCATACCATTCTGCATTTACGATAAATAATAATTTTAACTCTAAAGTAAAAGTAACAACAGCAGTATGGTTTTGATTTCAATCGTAACATATGTATGCCTGAAAAAGATATCTAAATGCTATTGTTTATTATAGTACCATAACAAAATTGGTAACTGTTTGCATATATGATGTACGAAAAATCACATGATAAAAATAAGCTTGATCTGTTGTATACTTCGATCTATCATCCCACATGCTGTGCCTACATGTTATATTTTTCACTATAGAACTTTTACCGATTCCTTACAAACTTGTATATATAACAAACATAAAACGTTTTATTTAATTATGTGACGATACATAAAATTATAATGTAAATTAAATTATTTCTATATAAATAAGATATACATGGAAATATTTCAGTAACAACGAAGATTCGCAAAGATCTCTGTTAATTCTATATCTAGGAGGAAGCAGTCATAATTTCTATACATTAATAAAGTTGTAATATAGGATGCACAATATATGTATATATATTGTGTAAAATTCATTTAAGCAATGCAATTCTTATTTAATGAATTACATTAACATGAAATTTTGTATATTAAATATGCGTGCTGAAGAATTGGCAGTAAATCATTTGTAAAGAATCTATCATATATTCGATAAATAATATTAAAATACAGATATATATATGTATATATATATATATATATATATATATATATATATATATATATATATATATATATATATTCATATACATACATATATATGAATTTAAAGTATAATTCAAGTTTCAATGGATTTAATATTAATAAAAATTTGTGAATTGTACAGTGCAAAAAAAGAAAAAAAAAGAAAAAAAAAGAGAAACAACTGATAGTATGAAAGTTTGAATTGTTTTTATGTAATAAACATTTTAATTAATCGTTTCCATGGAAATTATATTTTATTATAATAAGAAATTATTAACAACTAGTTATTTATGACCAAAATATAAAAAAATGTTCATCGAATTTGTAAACAAGGATAATTATGTAACATAATGTACATACTATATATTAAAAATATGTTACATAATAAAACAATCAAGAAAAGGTATTGAAGTCACAGCACTCGTTAGGCAGAATTTCCCCATTGGATTAATTAATGCACAATTGTAAATATATATTAATATAGTATCATTTACAATAAATAGTTATTCTTCATATTTCTAATGTAAGCCATAACCAACCGAAGAAGAAGTACTCCATTTAGTATAAATCTCTATGTAGTAAGAATAAAAACAAAAAAATGATTAATACAGAATGCTTCCTATAAAATAAGTAACGTTATAAATGAATAAAAAGCGTACAAATTTGTACAACTGAATAATAAAATGTTCCAGCAAATACCTTAAATATATATATATTTTTATAGTACCTGCATATTTCTCAATGCATGGCAATAAAAATTGCACGTGGTTTATATAGTTAATTATATATTAAAAAAATATTCTATACTATACGTACATATTCTATACTATATGTACACACATATATATATACATATATATATGTATACATATATATATATATATATATATATATGTATATATATACACACACACATACACACATTATTATACGTATTATCTATCACATGTGTTCTATAATAATATAATTTCTAAATATGCATAGTATATGAAAAATATATACAAAAGTAGAGAAAATAATGTAAAAAGTAAAAAATGATCCTTTCACAATTGCATACCATCATTCCTAAACTATGTCTTCAAGATTTTCTTATATTGAGAGTTTCCATAAAAAGAAATACAATTTAACTTTAATTAATTGTATTATATAGATTTTCTGTAATGAAAATTATTATATTGATACTTATATTAAAAATTTTTGTTTAATTCTACAATTAAATATATTATTTTGTTATCACATCTAATACTCTTTATATATACTCTCATAAAAAGAAAATCTTTTATATATAAATCATATACGCGCGTGCGTGCATTCGCGCGCGCGTGTGTGTATATACATATATATATATATATATATATATATATATATATATATATATATACACATATTATATATATAGTAATTGTGTTCTAAATTCACAAGTATTCATGTGTAAAAGTTAAATTGTACATCTTGAATGTACAATCACATCTTGTGATGAGACTGATATATAACATTTCTTATACATAAATACTGAGAAACGATTTCTTTATAAATTTAAATAAAAAATAAAGTTCTTCGTCCCTACTTATCATGAATACAATACTCTTTGTGCATTATTGTAAATATTATTATATAGTTAGAATTCTAGTATATATCTATATAGTACATATAATTACAAAATATCTTTTTCCTATTGCAAAGAGATATCTAATGTTCAATTTTCCGAATAAATAATGGTAAAATTTGTAAGAACTAGATAGATATTTATGATTATATAATGTGAATAAACAATGCTTTTGAAAATCTTCGGTATCCCTAATTCTATATGCTTTGGAATATAATTTTGATTTGTTCAATACCTAATATAATTAGTAATTATTATAATATTTTTAAATTATTTAAAAAATTAGATATATTTTCTAGAAATATTAGGCAATATATATATATATATATACACACATATATATATATATAGATATTCAAATATTAAACGATATAATTATATTAATGTGTAAATCGATCTTCTTAATTTTATATAATAACAAAATTTAGTAGTTTAATTTATCAATAATTATTATAAAACTTCTGTTTAATAGCACCCAGACCCAGCTGTATGCAATCACAGATATTTCTTTGTAATATCACATAAATAGGCATGTGTGTTTCATTAAATCTTTAAATTAATTTCTATTGTGTGATAATAAAAACAATTAATTTATATCAATATTGAAAATAGAAGCTATAACGTTTAAAAGAAACGACATATGGCAAGCACAGTAATATAACTGTCATAGAAAACATTATCTAATTTTATATAAACATGACTTGAAAATATTTAAATATTAAAAAGATGTTAGATAAATTACAAATAAATCATTTAACTGTTAATATAATAAAATGTTCAACACCAATATTTCAGTCTACTCATGAGATCTGCGGAACACTTACTCAGTAAGTTTATAATAATAATAATAATATATCTCAGTTAGTAAATGATATTAATAACAAAATACTATAGAAATGTGCATTGCTGCAAATTATAATGTAACAAAACAGTTTTTCTTAAGAAAACCAAATTAACCTATATATAAAATATCGTTAAAAGAAAAAGTATACAGAAGTATCCAATATCCGTCTAAAGTATTGCACGTAATATTATATTGTAAATTGAGTTTTATATGATAAAAAAAAATATTTATCTTATATACTTAATGATGGTTGATCTACTTCTGGTCGACTATCAGGAGGATTGCATGGTTGTTGTTGTTGTTGTTGTTGTTGTTGTTGTTCTTCTTCTTCTTCTTGTTTGCTCTTTTCCATTCCCCATTCGCTTTCAGGATCAGAAAAAATATTCGAATTGTCCAATATATCATCGTCTAAAGATATATCGGACAAATTCTCTAAGCTTTGTTGATTTGCTTCAGTGTAAAGAGATTCTGTTGTAACTGCAGTGAATACATCAAGTGTCTTAATGATTGTTAATTATTATAATAAATTTTTTATACATTAAAATATTTTAATTACCATCATTTAATGTATGCTGAGATAGCCAAGTAGGCTCATCCCAACCGTCAAATTGTAATTTTGTATTGGTCTCAATTTCATCAACAGATAATATTCCATGTGAATCTGCGTCAGTTACATCAAATATTTCTGTTACCTGTACTTTATTATTTTCGTCCATGTAATAATATGCTATTACAGCTTCTTGATCCGTAGTTACCTATAATATTAATTATTTTCTCACATTCACTCAAAATTAATAAATTATTTATGTGAATTTAAATATTTTTAAATTATATACCTGTAATATATTTTCAAAAGTATCATCCACTATTCCAATATCTGACACATTTATAACACAATTTGTTTTATTATTACATTCTTTCCACGATTGTCTGTAAGAAAGTATTACTGAAGTGTAAAATAATATCTTAGAGAAGAAGAATCTAATATATATTTTTATTACGTCTAACTTTTAATTATTAATCAATTTAATAAATTAAAATAATAAAATAAAATAAAAGCCAGCAAATCAATATACAATTTGTAGAGTTAGTATAATGAATACTTACAATTCATTATACTGGAGTGTCAAATTTAAACTTTTTGGATTTTTACACAATGCATCATTGTTTTCTGTTGATTTAATATCATAAATATCTGTAAAATATATTGCATTATAAATATATGCTCTTATATACATTTTACATTTTTTTTTTACTTTGCATGATGCATAATGAAAATATAATAATTAACATTACTTACTAGATCCATATTCTGTAACAGCTAATTGACACTTGATTGTCTGAGGTATTGGTTGGTAATAGACATTGATTTGTGGAAATACATAAGTCAAATGTTCCAAGATATATCTACTCGCTTCAACAAGATTATTCCGTAATTTTGGAACATTTAATATAAATCTATAATTAAAATAATATTATATTATTCATTTCTATAGCTACGATATATACATATACTTGTGTCTGTGTGAATAATATAATAAGATGTAAAAAGGTTTATTCGAAAGTCAAGAATAAAAGTACAATTACTATAATAAAAAATATAGTAAGAATAACAAAGCATTAAACATGAGTATATTAGCATATTAGCTAAGGAGCATAAATATGAGTGTATGAATATATTAGCTGATTTAATAATACTACAAAAAAAATAGAAAAAGTATAAATAAAAGATATAAAAATTAGTACTTTTAATCCTTACCCTGAAGGTTTTAAATGTTTAGCACAATTCAATGCACATAAAGGTGTGCGAAGTACATTTCCAATTATTTTGTATTCCACATTATAAGTTTCTATTTTGTTACCAACCAAACTATTAAATCACATGCATAATGTTAGTAATAAAATCATGCAATATAGAACTCTTACATTCTAATAATTGCAATAATTAATAAAATGTTATTTAAAAAAATAGGAAACATTAGAAATGCAACATTAGAAAAATTAATGAAGCTGTATATACAAAATATAAAATTGATTTGTTAAGTAACATATACTTACTTCGTAAATGTTGCATACACTACATCTGCTGGCAATGTACAAGGTAAGCTAAGCAAGGAGAGTAACTTTATACTTCTATGTTTAAACAACCAATTAATAAGACCTTTATTTGCTGAATCTATGGCATCTTGAAATATAGTCAAAACGGTCTCTGGTAAATTAGCTACCAACGCTTCCTAAAATATATTATAATTTTTATTTGTCACGAATAAAAAAATCAGAGAATGAGTATACCAAAATAGACAATTAATATTTAACCTGTCTATGCATTTTACATTCTAAACATTCAGGATCATATTCGAAACTCTCATCTAGTGTCTCTGATACGACGAATGTAGATTGTACAGCAAGGCACCTAGTACAATTAATTAAGTTGTTGCGATGTAAAAATCTTAAAGCGTCATCAAATCCTTGTTTACACATATTGGATAAAATCTGAGAAAAGTATATACATACATATATACATATACTTAGAAATTTTTCTATACCAATTACAATTAATATTATGATTAAACTTTATCTTCTCACTTTTGGATTTGGTGGAAAAAGTATTCTAGCAAATCTACATATGTTTTGTTTTGAAAGTTCTATACTTGTATTTGCCACATTCACCTGAAAAGCGCAATAAAACGTTAATTTATATTTTTATATATTATATTTATTCTTATAAATGATATATAACTTACATGAAACAATTGAGATGATATATCTCTAGGACAAATATCACTTTCTCCGCAAAAAGGACTAACTGTAACAGTATTTTCATCAAGCGTAGGAAGATTATCACTGAAACCACCATCTATGTATCTGATTCCATGAAATCGTGGTGGCAATATACCAGAGAAAAAAGGAATAAATGAAGAGGCCAATAGAGCCTATATACAACGAGAACTTTCAGAATAAATATATGAGCATGTACCAAAAAACGTAATATTACACACTTTCAAATATTTTCTATTACCCTAAAATGTCTACCTGAAGTAAATCTTGTCTTGAGTTATAGTGCGAAACTATCACATTTTTTCCATCGTATACCCTGGTCAAAGAAATATGTAACTTTCCATTTACACGAATGTGTGCATCCTCTGGTAGAAACTAAAATGACAAAATTTATTTAATAAAATATAATGGTTTTCTTTTATACGTTATATAATATGAACATACTTTTTGTAAACTCTCCAACAATATATCATGTACATTAAATGATGGACTGAAAGCACCTAGTGTATGTTCTCTGGCTTCTCGTGCTACACGCAACACATTACTTGTAATTTCACCTGCAAAAATTGAGTCATAAAAATCCAACTTATAATATAAAAATAAAATTATTAATTCTATAGTAAGAAAGTATTCATATTTCAAACAATTACTCGAAATAATAAATATACCGATTTATGAAAAAAAGAATAAGATATCTATCAACATTCATACGATAATTCAAATTAATATCTTATAATTTCTTGATAAAATGTATTTATTCAGATAATATTAATGTTCTTTAGACTTGATATCAATTGATTTTTTAAAAAATAATTCTAAAAAATAATAATAATCTTTAAAAAATACACATATAAATTAGCAAATAAAATAAAAAAGAAAAGAGATTACATACTATAATCTTATCAGATAAATTCTTTTATCCTAATCGTTTGTATCGTTTAATGTCTGAATTATTAACATTTAATAAAGAAGAACAAAGGAACAATTGGGAGAAATTTTATCTCTCTCAAGCACTTGATCTTTGTTCAATTTTATCATTATCTTTTTAATCAAATTTAAAATTAAAAATATAATAGATATATATGTGTACTACCTATGTCTCATTACGTTATATGATATAAAATTTAAAAATTTGAAAACAATTACATATACATGAAAGGATAATATTTATCCTGAATATTTGTGAATACAAATATATAATATTTGCTTTACTCAGTTTCTTTGTTACATGCAACTACGAATTGCGTGAGAGAATGAAAGAGAGAGATACAGAAAGATACGTACGTAGATTAATATAATAAATTATGTTTCACAAACAACCACGGGTTGAATTACATCATTTCAAAGTGATTTCATGGTCAAAGAAGAAAACAACTGTTGTTTACACACGAGATTATTCGAGATATAACAATTCGGCTTGCAATCGAAATGATTGAATTTTTATACATACAAATTTTTCGAAATTATAAATAATTATTTAGATTTTGAATATCATAAAATATGTTTATATGTACAAATACTGACATCGAAAATTAATATTATATAATTTTTTCAAATAAACATTAGCAGAGTCGTGATTTTTTTTTTTCATAGTGAACTAAAGATCAAGAAACTTTTGAGATCCAAAGTAAATATATGTAATCTCTATTATATCATCAGGATTAGATAAAGCAATTGGAAATAAATAGTAAGAGGTGTTGACAGTCTATCTCTAATTTGATCTCACTTGTATTGGAATTTCCTAGAAATTGAAGTCACTTATTAGGTAATTATTCATTGATAAATTCAATCTGTACATCATGTTCTATATGATATATATATACACACACACATACGCACATACATGCGTGTGTTTATATATATATATATATATGTATATATAGTTCTCATTAAACAATAGTATCAATAGCATTTATTGTAACTTCTTCGTTTACCATTACAAGCACCAATGTTACATCTTTCATAATATCTGGCTACCACCACAACTCTTATTTTGGAAAAATGTAATTGATAAATGGCCTTGCTACTACTTCCGATTATTCTATTCTAGGAATGTGATATAACCTACTTATTAGATACGTATATAGTGGTCAAGTTTATTAGATTTACAGATGAGTAATAAATAATTAAATATTAAAAGAAAGTCATTTAACATTACTGCGTTTTAAAGTTTATCACATTTATTCATACTGATTTGATCAACTACTATCAACTCATTTAATTCTACTCACGTTAATAATAATGATTTTCTTAAAAGAAAAAACAAAGAAGTATTATATTAAAAAGGAACACAATTTATGAAGCATATGTCATCATATCATTATATATATCTATAAATTATACAGTATTTGAATGAAAGCAATATATGAAAATTACTTTCTAAGAAATTAAGAATAACTTCTTGTAATCTCTCAAAGAGACATACAACAAAGGGATTTCTAAATAGACGTATTGCTCAATAGTATAAAGTATTAATGATTTAAGATATTTTATATCTATTAGATATATATACAAAGGAGTTCACTCACCGAGGGGTAAGTCACAAAGAAGACAGCAGGCAGCGATAGCACCAGCCGATGCTCCACTAATCTTATCCAGTAGCAAATGCGGTGCATATTTTTTAAAACATACTGCTACACCAACATGGTAAATACCAAGAAAACCACAGCCAGCGAAAGATAAATTCATGTTGTAAAATCTATTTAAATATTTACCCCCTATACAATTTTCTTTCATTGACTAATTTTATTCTAAACGGAAGACAAGTTGCTAATAAAAGGCACTGTGTTTATAAATATTTTTATTATTAGATTATATATAACACCACCAGCAAATGTAATAACTCGAATAAAATTGTAACAGCAAATGTAATAACTCGAAACGTCCTCACTACTGTGCGAACAACAGCTGTTTTCACGAAACACTGAGAGATAATCTTCAGAATGGATAACAAAAAAAAAAACATTACATACAAGTAAAGAGATATAACTTGTGTGATGACGTGATTCGTAAATGCGTAGGCTTATTCCTTATTGGTTGATGATAAGTGGTGTGGTGATCGCTCCACCCATCAATGCGTATGTGTTTTGTGTTAATGCGATTTTTTAAACGATTTTTTTATCAAAAATACAAGGATACATTTTAAATCTTTCCGCATCTGATTTCTCTATAAAATCTGCATTGCTCTAAATTAATATTATAAATCTGATTGACTTAAAAGGTCAAGAGGTTAAGCACTTAACCTCTATAAGTATGCTAAAATATATACAGAGATTTTATACATTATTGTATAAAAATTGACGTCATACTCTTTCGACACTCGTGAACGCGTAATATTGACAAATATTTTTCTGATTATATAATATTATAAATTATTTCGTTTTATTTTTTTTCTCAGCTAAATATTTGTCGATGTATAGTTTGAATTCTATGAGACGACGTAAAACGTTAATCGCACTGTTTATAAGTATAAACTTATTACGTAATTAGATCTGCGATCTTAATGAAGCTTTGTTTCAATCTATCTACATGTGCGCGCTTATATATGTAGATGTGTACGTGTACAAATACGTACGTATTTAATATAACGCAATAAATAAAAATAAAATATATATACAAAAAATATATATTTGAGAAAAATATTAGAAATTGCGTATATAAACGTTTGAATAAATCATGAATATAATAGATGAGAATAATTTGTTAAATGTATTAAATACAAGTTTGGTGACTCGTAATTGGAATGATTTATATGACAGTCTTAATCCAAAGTCTTTCGGCATTATTAAATCCAGGTATATACAAATTTAAAATTATTATGTATATATTTATTTCTAAGTGAACTAATAAAAGATTATGTTTCAGGCAATTATTTAAAGTATTAGCAAAAATTGCTGAGATAATTGTGAACGAGGAAAATGATATACCCGATAAGCTTAAAATTATATTATTGAAATGTTTGGGCAATTCTTGTTTAAATGTCTACACGCATGCAGATTATGAATCGAATAATACAGAATATGGAAAATATTGTAAAAAATTGTATGCTAACTTAGCAGAAGATAGATTAAAATTTCAATATGAACTACAGGAAGAAAATATCTGCTTTCCATATAATGGTATTGCAGAGTGGACTGTAGATTATATTATTTTAAATTGTGATGTTGCATTGTCTGAAGAACAAATACAAGTGTTAAGATTATGTATACAGTTTTTATGTAATCTTTTTACGTTCGCTTGCAACAATAGAAATTTATTGCAATGTAAAAGGATAAAGAATTATTTAAATGGTACAACATTCCAAAATGCTATTATGTAAGTTTTTTTAATGACTTTTTTAAGAATACTAAAAATTTTCTATTTTTCTTCTGTACCAAAATTTAAATTGTTTCTAGAAAATTCATATGTTTTGAGGATATTTCAGTGGCCAGAGCAGCTTGTATGTTCATACATAATGCCTTGAAAAAATTTGGCCAAGATTATTTTACGTGGAATGATAAAATCTATGTATGTTCTCAATTGTTAAAGAAAGTTGAAGATTTACAATGTGCAAAGGATGCGTTGCTATGTCTGTTAAATCAAGAAAATGTATTTAAAAGCGTTTATGAAGATATCTCAATGGAAAATAAGTTACATTTACTTCAAATAATTCACGAAGAGGCTCAGAATGTGATTTATCGACATGAAAAAAGTGACACAGGATTTACTTTCTGTCAGAAGCTTATCGACTTTTTGTCAGATCGCTTTTGCAAAAGAAGTGATCTTATATTAAAAACAAAAGACACGTATTTAAATAATTTTGAGCCTATGGAAATAATTATCCTTCTTGACATATTAGGAGTGCTTACATCAGAGGCCACAGATGAACTTTACATCATACAGAATAATAGAAGTCTTCTTATAAATTGCTGCTGTAAGTATTGATATATTAAACAAATATTATAAGATCAACTTTTGATTCATTATTATTTTTATCTACAGATTTATTGAAATCTTTACATATGTGTGGTAAAGAATCAGAGAATTATTTTACATCTATACAAAGATTGAGTGACGTAGCACCATCTACACAAAAAAGAGAACATGATCTAGAACACCATCCTGCTTTTGGCTTTAAAGCAGGTTTAATAAGAATAATTGGGAACATGTCATACAAGAATAAAAAATGTCAAGATATTGTAAGTAATACTGGAAAAAGATTTTTTTCAATGTATGCATTCATCATCGATAAATATAGAATCTTCTTATCTTAGATTACGATGACGTTTATAAAATATCGAATCTTTTTTATCATATAATTGACAAATGATTTAAATTTCAGATCCGTGAAACAGACACTATTCCTTTACTTTTTGATTGTTGTAATATCGATGCCCGAAATCCATGTATCCTTTCGATAATCATTAATAGATTTTTATTTTTTTCATTCTTATATTCGATCTAATAATTTTATTTTCCTTGAATAATAATCTATTCAACAGTAATAATGCAGTGGATTATCTTAGCGATTCGTAACCTGTGCGAAGAAAATTTGGAAAATCAAGAAATTATTCGTAATTCTACGAAAATCGGTGTTATGGATAACACTATTTTAAAAGAAATGGGATTAACTCTACAGGATAACGAAAATGGAAAATCTATCGGAATCGTACCGTTATTATGAATCAATAAAAACTTATTAATATAATTGTCTCATTTGCATCATTTTATTCTTCATACATATCTCATTTGTTTTTATTAGTCAATTACCGATCGAGCAAGTTTATTATATTGATAAAACTTTTGTTATCGTGTGTTGATAAATAATAGTAGGTTTCTGTTTTACCGACCGAGCTGAATTTAGTACCAATGGTAAAGCTCTGTTTTATTGGCCGGATAGAAAATGTCGATAATAGTACGTTCTATATGTGCGAGATATAAATGAATATATATAATATGTATATGTGTATTTAGTTAAATCATCAGAAACAAACTTTCCCATAAGAATGACGCAAGGTCCTTTCTTGGCTATTAAAGCGTGAGTTAATTATATGACATCGTTCCGATCGTCGTTTAAGGAAAACGTTACAAGTAGAAATGCGAATTAATTGTTGATCAATGTTAAACTTCAAAAAGTAAAAGTATTCAGGAAGAGAGAGAAAAGAAGGACAACATTTTTGCAAGTGGGAAGTTCCAATATATCGTGGGTGATTTCCATTCAAAGTATATCCACATATGCTATTACTCATTACACGTCGATTATAAGCGGAAATTTCGAAAGCCTAGTGTGCAAAGTGATTTTCCTTTCCAATGAAATAGTTTCTGCTACAAGAGAGTTGTACAAAGTCACAACGCGAATTCCAATGTTGTACATGTTCTCTATACGTATGTATGGATCAGATAGTAAAACGTTAAATAAATACTTGGAGATAATTCTCACTGTGAGCGGGATAGGTTAATACTCGATGGCCAACTCCGCGATCGCTTGATTTCACCCAATGTAATAACACACTTCTGTCGTGTTATTCGAACAGAAGCTAACCGAACGTTCTAGATCATTTACGATCTCGAATCTACGAAGAAATATATCTTGGTATAAATTCCAATAAGAGATTTATACTTAAAGAAATAATGAAATATTTTATCAAAGGAATACTTTTAATTGGGGCCCAACATTATTGTTTTCATTAAATAATTCTGCTTGTTTAACATAAAATGAAAATGGATATGATCGTGTACTCGTGTAATAAACCTCTTTTTAAATTACTTTTCATTTTTCAATATGGTCCCCTCTCGAAACGATAAATCTAGAATACGGTGCAATTTGAGAAGTCATTAAGAGAAAATTTATTTGGCAATTATAATCGTTCTTTTAATTGGCCACACATTATTATTATTTGCGCCAAGATAGTGAACAAAAGATCTTAAAGAATAATAAAATCAATTTCTACGATTTTTAAGTACATAATTTTTGAAATATCCAAGTTCATATCTAATACCTAATACATAATGCATAATACATATACGTAGTACATACGTTTGTAGGTAAAACAAGTTCACTTTCGTATTAATAGGGGTTCTCGAATCGAACCTATGTCGGTACCTAATAAGTCTTGGATTCTTTTTTGTTTTTTATTTTTCAAAGAACGATCCAAGGTACGACGAGAGTGCCGACGCCTACGCGAAGCTTCTCTTTTGAGAGCCGACTTGGCAATATATTTCCTGTACTCTCTTTCTCTTTCTTACTTAGCGTATACCTATAGATCAGACCGACACCGATGCTTTATTCGAGCAAGTAAAAACAAATGAAATGAAAACTCTTGTTGTGCTTCTTATGTACTTAATCTTTTATCATACACAAGTACAAGACTATATTGATTCTTATCGTGATAGATAAATTCGCGATATTTTCGATAAAAATATATTACAATACTACTGTGTAATATATCTAGGATTAACTCTACGTTTATATTTACTTTGTGTTGGTGAGAGATCGATGATTTCGAATGATCGATAAATAGGTGGATCGATGATGGATAGTAAAGAGATCGAGAGAAAGAAGACGCATATATTGAGAGAGAAAGAGAGAGAAAGGCAGGGAGGGGGCTTTGTGCCTCTCTCGGTGCTTTTCCTTTTAACGACTGCCGCACACGGTGTAAGAGCCGTAAATGTTACGCCGAGCTCGAGATTTCTGTAATAGCCACTAAAAGCGAGCTTCGTATACCTTTATGGATGATCGTAAAGGTACGAGAGGAGAGATATTTGGAACGGGAAGAGTCGCAAGATGTTTGAAGAGACAGTCGAAGAACGAGAGGGAGAGAGAGAACGAGAGAGAGAGAGAGAGAGAGAGAGAGAGAGAAGATACTCTAATTATTTTCTATTTCTAATTCTCATTCCTCTGGAAAAGATCAATAATTCTCTTATAGTAAGAAAAAGATATAATAAAGAAATTTTCGAGTACACTCACATAACAAGGATGATATGATCTTCTAACATTTTTCATCAATTATTAGCTAATCTAAAACGTAAGGTTCTCTCTTACGATAAGGAAGATTACAAAGAAGAACTTGCTAATCAAAAATTCCCTAATCTAAATGATTTCATCCAACCATCCTCAATGATAAGAAAGGAATACAATAGAGGAGCACAATTTTCGAGTATCTACCCACATAATACAAGAATGATATACGATTAATCCTTTAGAACGATCTCCATTCGAAAACGGAAATCTGGATAATTTTACGTAGCGTTGGGCTCCGTTGCAAACTGGCATGCGGGTATTATCTTTACGACCTCTCAAACAGACTGAAAGAGACAGAGAGAGAGAGAGAGAGAGAGAGAGAGAGAGAGAGAGAGAGAGAGAGAGAAATGTCGTTGGAGGAAGGGGCAAACGCATGCGCGATATACCTTGAAGGAGACGGTGTTGCATCGAAAACCGGGGAACCTGTTATCAGAGAAACAGTGGCCGGGTACCCGGGACCAATTATCATGCAGGCCAGAGTTCTAAAGTCTTTTCCTTTCCTTCTTCTTCTTCTTCTTCTTCATTTTCTTCTACATCACGATCTTCACAATCTTCAGAGTTTTCAGAGTCTGAATCTTTCGTCGTTTCATTTCCGGCCAGTAAACGTTTCTCCGATAAAAATTACGAGACTGCTCGATGATTCCAAAGTGTTTTTCCCTGTTATCGTGTCGTTCACATGGCAATTAAAAAACTTTAACCAAGAAGGAAAAAGAAGATAAAACAAGAGATATGTCTTACTCTCTCAACGATCTGATTATTTATACAAGTATTCACTAAGCTTTTTTCTGTAATGTGTTTTGCTTCTACGATATATTATGTATATGCATATATTCCCATAGGATCTCTCATTTTCATCTATTCGAATTATTCTAATTTATTGTTAACATTTACATGGGAAATCGATCGAATCTGTCATAGAGAGAAAGAGAGAGACAGAGAGAGAGAGAGAGAGAGAGAGAGAGAGAGAGAGAGATGCAAATGTTTAGTGTGAAGATCAAATTAATTTCTACTAAAGATATTTTCGTTATTTCTTTATCATTTCAAGATCAAGATTTTGAAGTTTAAAGATAGCCGATCGATATGGATCTTAATTATTTGTGAGAGAATTTGTGAATATGTCAAATCAAGTGTGTTATTTTAAACGAATTAGACGTGTAATCGTCTCTTTTAATCGAGATTGAAATATGTCAACGAGTTTTTTTTGGAATTATGAAGGAAATTCGACGATTGTTGTTACGGTAAGTTTACAATTACATACATATTATAAATAATATATGAATATAAGCATACGTATTATACATAGTATAATGTTATAACAGTAATATTATGTATAGTATTCTATGCTATACTAATGCTATAATACTAAGTATTATACTATGCATAATTCTATGCTATACTAAATATTGTACTATCTCTATGATATTACTATATTGATACTACATTTATACTATTACAAATTATATATTCCTAATTAGATATTTCTTTTTTTTACTATTATACATTGTATAATATTATATTGGGACACGTTGAAATATTTTTTTTTTAATATTTTGCAATCATTACAAGAGAAGAGAGAGGATTGATAATAATTTACGAAGATATTACACGGTAAACGATTCCCATTGGGACGGGGATACCTTTTTAATTTCTCGAGGTGACGTTTATCGTCGACTTCGCGTGGCGGCCCCGTTAAATCACGTATTTTTGCGTGCGAGCAAGACGGAGATGCAAGAAGGGAGAGAGTTAGTCTCGTTTCGTCATTTGCAGCCACACACTCGTTACTATACTCTCTCTCTTTCTTTCTCCCTCTCTCTCTCTCTCTCTCTTTCTCTCGCTTTCTCTCTCGTATGTTTCTTCTTCTCATCTAACTTAAGCTTCCCCCTTTCGAAAGAATCGCTATAACAATGGCTGCCCTTTAATTATCGAAAGGCCGCGGCACTTTAAAGAGAGATCCTTTGAGAGAACCCATCAACGGGACTTTTGCTTTTCGTTTGCCTCCTAAAAATCGCTTTTTTTCTCTCTCTCTCTCTCTCTCTCTCTCTCTCTCTCATGAAAAGAAAAATAATAACGATCAAAATATTAGATATATTTACAACATGATATGTGATTTAACTGTAACGATTTCATTCTAATGATTATAATAAGAATTGATTTATATATGAAGTATTAAAAAAAACAAAGAAATTTTTGCTAAAAACTGCTCAATTATTTAATTCTAATCAATGAGGATATATTTAGTGATAATAATAGGAATTCATTATAATTTATTTTATTGGATATTTCTGTATACATTAATTTAAAAGAAGAATGAAAATAAATTATGATTGCTTAATTCTAATTTATTGGGGTTTCGTACTAGAAAGAGAGGAAGGAAGGGAGAAGATGAAGGAGCGAAAAGGAGTTGTGAAATGGGCGTAACCGAAAGTGTGCGTAAGAAAGAGAAGAGAGAGGGAAAGATCAGCAGACCTGTTGCTCGTTGCTACCACCACCGAATGCTCTTGTACGACCCACGTTAGAAGGGAGTTGGTTTTAGCGCGACCAATGACTAAGATTCTATACTCTTCTCTTTATTACTCTATCTTACATAAATATAATAAATTTCTATACATTAATGTGCAATTAATGTGTAAATGTCTGTAGGAATAGTTTGAAATATCTACATCTCTAATTTCATCGAAAACTTAGGATAGGAGGAATATCCGTTCTAACATGATATTTGATTTTTCTAAGCATCCCTTGGTGTGTCAAGGTTCGCTCCGCCTCTTTTCGATCTCTCGTAATTCTCTTCCCAATTTCGTTCTCTCTTCACTTTTATTAGCGGTTTCTATTTCGAGCAGATGTTAGCCCGGTACAACGGTCCTTTCGGAGGAGAGCTAGTCAGTTACAGTCTCGTATTGTAGCGGTAAGATATAAAAGATTAGGGTAGGTTTCTTTTCCAGAGACCCTTTACCTTTTCTTCATTCTTTTCTTACGATATCTTTATATCTTATGATATCCACGAGAATTATAATTCTCAAGTACCTATATTTCTTATTTCGTTCTACTCGATGTTAAATATAATAATACATTATTTGGAAGAGGGGAAAAAAAAAGGAAGAAAGGTCTGGTTAGTATAGGAAAAATTCCAATTATATAAGACAGATCCTGTTGTATGTATCCTTCAGAATCAGGGCAACCTGGACTAAGATTATTTAAAAGAGGGTTTCTCTTCAATCCCTTTTTTCTAGTTTACTACACAAGGCTTAGAGAGAGGTGTTCTTTCAAAAGAATAGCAGCAGCATTCAGAATAACAGCAGCGGCAGCAGCAGCTCGTTCTCTCATCCAAGTACATATACATACATGTAAGCGCAATACATATGTATGTACTTTACTGGTGTACTTGACGAGCACACCTGCGCATCGACGAATTTGTCATAGCTATATGGAAAGCCTCGTTCGTCCATTATTACGACACAAAGGAATACCGGCCTTTTGTGCCATCTGGGAATTCGAAAAGCAGCTTTCCATGTTGGAATCGTCATTCGTACGCTTGCATATGCCGAGTATTCTCCCTCTTATTTTTTTTCTGTTTTTTTTTCTTTTTTTTTCTTTTTTTTTCTTTCTTTTTTTTTTTTTTTTTAAGGGCAACGAGTTAACTATGAAACGTAGAGAGAAACCTATGTGCACAAACGTGTTTTCTTATCTCTCAATTAGCGTTTGTCTGTATTATGACAACTCACAGTGCGATCGCATGGATCTCGTTCCATCGGAACGAATTCGTTTCCGAGCATCCTTTCTCTCTTTCTCACTTACTCGCTCGCTCACTCACTCATTTTTTCTCCCTTTGTACTCGGAAATAGGAAATTCGTGGCATATATGTGAGTGCACTGAGCTATGATTCCTGTTCATTTTATTCTCTCGTTTCGTTCCTAAAAAGAATATAAAATCTCTCTACTTGTGTATTTTTTTATTCAAAAAATAGACGTTCGTCAGATGATGCAATCGAGATCTTTCTTTATACAATAATTAAATAATAACTTTAAACAACAATAGCTGTAATAAAAATGACCATTGATTAATAAAAAGAATAATAATTAAAACGAAACATATAAAAAATTTATTTGTAATTAGACGATGATCGATTTTTCTTTATACAATAATTAAACAATAATCAAAAATAATAGTAAATAATATCTGAATAATAATTTAAAAAATAATAACACTAAAATTGCTTTTTCATAGAGAGAGAGAGAGAGAAGAAAAACAAAATGATCAGGTTCGAAACCCTCGAAAAACCGAAAACATATGGCGCGTGCAATTATGGTGTAATAATATATAATTAATAAAATACTCTTCTTTGTATGTGTGGAAGGGAAGCCCACGTTCTCCCTTCGTTTTTATATTGCTCAGCAGGCGAAAAAAAAAATGAAAGAAAGGAGAACACCTTTCTCTCTATCTTCCACGGGGATCCATGTCTTTTAGAATAAAATTCTCATAATCGATATATAACACACAGAGTTTCTTGCATGGCCTAAGTTCATAAGGGTCAGAAAATTATCCTGAACTTATTCTCATAATACCACTACGATTCCTCGAAAAAGCTAATTGTGCTTCCACTTATATCGGGAGAAAAACTTTCCTATAATATCGATCTGACATTATTTTATTCTATACTTTTATTCAAATGTGGAATTCAAAAAATGGCATATAGGGGTCGTAATCCTTAATCTCATTGATAAAATTTTTACTTCAAGAAGAGCAGAAACATGGAGTGAAATGTTCATAACGCATTATAAATTTATTTCTCCTAATCATTCTTTACAATGTCATTTACAATCATAGCAAAATTCATTTACATCTAATATTACACAATAAGAAAAATTTTTTTACGGATTATTTTTCATACTCAACTTTTAAAAAGAACAAACATCGATCATACCACCTCGAATCCCTAATCAATTCTTATCTCTTGCTATAAGAAAAAATTCGCAAATATAGACGTAGGACGGGAGCGTTGGAGCATCAGGTAACTCTCAAACTAAAGCAACGAATAAGAGAGAGAGGGGTAGAGGGGGGGGGAGAATGAAAGAGAGAGGGAAAGAGAACGAGAGAGAAATAGAAAGAGAGAGGGAGAGAGAAAGAAAGAGAAAGGGAGAAAGAGAGAGAGAGAGAGAGAGAGAAAGAAAGAGAGAGGGAGAAAGAGAGAGTAAGGAGGAGGAGGAGGAGGAGGAGGAGGAAGCATGAAGCGATACGACGTGAGATGAGAAGAAGAAGCAGCAGCTAAAGAAGAAGAGAAGAAGAGAAGAAGTATAAGAAGGAAAAAGGACTGACTGAGAAAGATAAAAGGAGATACGAGATGAGAGTATAAAGAGAGAGAGAGAGAGAGAGAGAGAGAGAGAGAGAGGACAAGTTGGAGGGAGAAGGAAAGAAAAGTAGAGGGAGATAGAGAGAGAGAGAGAGAGACAGATGTAGAGGTAGGATCGTAGAGGTAAGATCGTAGAGGCTGGGACCTGATCCCAAAGGTAGGAGGACTTGGGTTGGCGAGGCCAGTCCATCGCGGGCCCTCCTCTCGTCCGAACGTACTTTACTTTCTGACCGCTCATTCAAATTCCCATGTGACCAAGAGTCTTAATCATTGCTTAGATTTAAGCATTTGTTTTAGTGTTATTATACATCATAACATTTCTTTCAAACTAAAAAGGACGGAATGAAACGATCCTAATCAGGCATAAATATGAGTTTATTAGAGAAATCTGATATCAATAATACTTGAAATATTATACGTAAAGCTCAATTAGAGTTATGCTCGTGATATAGTTTTACAGCTCTCATCTGTTGTCACCGTGTTATATCTGCTGCTACTACTTGCTACTTGCTATTAACAGTAGTAGTAGCAGCGGTGGTGGTGGCATAGCTCGAAAGGTAGTGCCGCTGGCGCCGTTGGTGATGGTTACCTTGAACAACGACGCGGGTCACTTCGAACACCTTGCACAGTTACCCTCTGCTCCAGTTCGAGATCACATCAGAGTACTGACCGTTCTCTCTTTTACTTTTATTACATCAAGAAGAAATTTCTTTTAATGACGAGATTAAGACAGCCTGGCTATCTGTTTCCGTCTTTCTCTTTTTCTCTCCCTCCCTCTCTTTCTTCTCTCTCTCTTTCTCTTTCTCTCTCTGTCTTTTTTTATCTTTGTATTACCGAAATTGAAAGAGAGTGTACAAGTTAAGAGAGTGATCAAGTTTGACAAGTAAGAAAGAA